GTAAGCACAAATGGTAAGAGTCAGTAGGATTTGGGCGTGAACCTTTCACCCACAGACTGGCAAACAATGGGACCCTATGCATAGACCTATGTCAAACCAGTCTTTTTATATATATATTTCTCCTCCTAGGGAATTCTAAGCCTGAAAATCATAAGTAGCTTTGACCCTAATGAAGAAATAAGCATCCATGACCTTTTCAATCCTCGTTTTCCCCCCAAGTCTGGTATTTCTCATTAGTTTTACAGACTGGAAGAAAATAGATTTTGTGCCATGTAAATTATTTTGAGTTTATGGTCTCGGGCGGGAAAGCCAGAGCTGATTCCTCAGAGGGTATTTTACTTCAGTCCATTAGCATGAGCTCCTTATTGATGAACCAATAAAGCATGCCCTGCCACAGCCCCGGAATGCCATCTCCTAATTCATAATTAATATTCAGGTAAAACTCCACCACATCCATCTGATTTCCCACCCATGGTAATTGGTGTTTGATTTTTTTTTTTTTAAGTTTATCAGCCAGGATTGGTGAACCTTGGGAGATCCTAGTGCCAGGCACTTACTGAAAGAGACCGAAGGGCAGTTCAGCGTTTGTGAGTTAACGATACCTCTCCGTAAACAGGATGCTGAGATTTCTTAATGTTCTTTAAACCCTAAACCAACCCAGCCACTCTCCTGTGGTTCCCATAGCAACCACAAAAGGTAAGGTGAGGCAGCTTTCTTTTTCTTTTTCTTTTTCTTTTCTTTTCTGCCAGAGATTGAACCCAGGGGCACTTAACCACTGAGCCACATCTCCAGCCCTTTCTATTTTTTGAGACAAGTTGCTGAGGCTGGCCTCCAACTTGGCAATCCTCCTGCCTCAGCCTCTTGAGCTGCTGGGCAGGTACCTTTCCTGAAGTCTCCTATGAGTAAATGAGGAAACGAAGACTTCAGAAAGTTAACCAGTGGCATCGAATGGGACTTGGTCTTAAATCTCTCAACTGCACCCAGGTCTTATGAATACTATAAAATATCTACAATGAAACCTGTACCATAGTTTTATTGACTTGATTTGTCAATTCAGTTCTGTCTTCCATTTCTCCATTGTTCCAAAGACTCAGTAGGTAAAAATACAGCTTCAAAACAAATGCTTGGAACCCCAACGTTGTCAGGATGACTGATCCCTTCTGTTAAAATAAAAAGTWCTGCTCCAGCAAAAAAACAGTGTTCCAAATCAGCCATGAATGTGTGAGGGATGCATTTAGTCCCAGTACAACTGGCTTTTGCTCCCCTCCCATACTGCAAATCGAGTGAGTCTACGTGCATAGTAATCTGCAGCAAAATTTGAATTGACGTGTTGGGTTCACACACTATCATGAAAATCAATAGTAATTAAAGGGAACACTTAGCTGACGAGGTTGACAGAACTGAAGGTGTTTGGGAGCTCTTCATTTTCCTCCCTCCCTAATTGGTCCCTCTGGCCTGCTGTAGCTTTCCATGGTTTGTTATCCAAATAGCAGACACACCGATCCAGTCTGGGTATTATTGGGTGGTCCCATTAAGGATAGATTGAGATCCCACTTACTTAAAAAGAACTTCTCGGATCTTGCTCTCGCTCCTTTAAACCCTGTCCATGCTATTTATTTATTTATTTATTTATGGTACCGGGGATTGAACCCAGGGGCGCTTAACCACTGAGCCCCATCCCCAGCCCTGTTTTTCTATTTTATTGAGAGACAGAGTCTCACTGAGTTGCTTAGGGCCTCGCTAAGTTGCAGAGGCTGGCTTTGAACTCGCCATCCTCCTGCCTCAGCCTCCCGAGTTGCTGGGGTTACAAGCGTGCACCATTGTGCCCGGCTGTCCACTTTGCTCTGTCAGTGATCCATCATCAGTGGAATGGGTGTAGGGGATATGGTGACCACCTGCTTTCCTGTGGAATCAGGCTAAATGGATATGAGCTACAAGAGGAATGCTCAAGTTTTGATATTTGAACTTCTCCTGATTGTGGGCCGATTGCTAAATGTATAAAGCATATACTCTATTTTTTTTCCTTCTGTTTCCCCCTCTCCACATCATGGATCTGACTCCTATGGGAAAAGTGGTACAGAAGTGGTGGCCACAGAACCAATACAAATGATGGAAAACCCACCAGAAAATCACACTTGGCTACTAATGGCTTTGGAATGTTTGGAATTTCTGAGCTACATGGATCTAGATACTTCTAGTAGATACCAATGAATTTAGAAAGCTAGGAAAATGCTACTCCAAATCTGAGTCCTTTCCTTAATGAGGGGGGTTCTATTTACCTAGATTATCTGGTAACTGACTTAATATTTTTTCATTCATATCCAAGTTTGCATGAGGTTTTTCTCTGCCAAAACTTGCGTTGAGGGCTGGGGATGTGGCTCAAGTGGTAGCGCGCTCGCCTGGCATGCATGCGGCCCGGGTTCGATCCTCAGCACCACATACAAACAGAGATGTTGTGTCCGCCAAGAACTAAAAAAATAAATAAATAAATATTAAAAATTCTCTCTCTCCTCTCTCACTCTCTCTTAAAAAAAGATAAGCAGGAACAATGTTTCTGTCTTGCTGGATTTAAAAAAAAAAAAAAAAAAAAACTTGCGTTGAGATTCAATTGCCTCCATTGTGCTATTGAGAGGTGGTGGGTCCTAGGAGAGGTGATTCAGTCATTAAGAGCAATAGCGCTTTCTTGAAGGAGTCCGTCTATTCTTGTTGAGGGCTGCTTGTTCTAAAGCAAGTCCACACCTTGTGCCTTGCCTCTTCTGCATGCGCCCACTTGCCCCTCTACTTTCTGCTGTGGATGAAGCAAGATGAAGCCCTCCCTGGTGCCTTGCCCTTGAACATCTCATCCTTCAGAACTGTGAGCCCAAATAAACTTATTTCTTTATACATTACCCAGTCTCGGGTATTTTATTCCAGCAACAAAAAATGGACTAGGTTGACATCTGTCCACCTGTGGGAAATACACCACTTGCCTCTTATATTCCAGGTGTTCAGATATACAGTCCCTGACTTCAGGACCTGCAACTGTCCACCCTCCACATACTCACACACAAAGATAGAGCCAGATGTAAGAGAGAGAGAGAGAGAGAGAGACAAAGAGAGAGAGAGAATGAATTCCATGTAGTAAGGTTTTTGAAAAGAAAAATAAAGGATGTCATGAAAAGGCCATGTCTAGTCTTGGGGACACCATGGAAGGAAGGTTTCTGGGGTGTGTTAGTTTGCTGGGCTGCCATGATGAAGAGCCATAGACTGGGGGACTTCAACAACAGAAATTTATTTTCTGATAATTCTGGAACCTAGAAGTCCAACATGAGAGTGTGGGTAGAATTGATTTCTTCTGAAGTCTCTGCTTAGCTTGTAGAAGACTATCTTCTCCCTGCATCTTCATGTGGCCTTCCATGTGTGTGTGTGCTTATGTGTGTGTGTGTGTGTGTGTACTTCCTATAAGGACACCAATCACATGGGATTAGGGGGCTACCCATATGACCTATTTTTACCTTGTCTACCCCTTAAAAAGCTCTGTCTCTCCAAACAGTCAAATTTCAAGCTACTAGAGTTTAGGAATTTGACTCATGAATTTGGCAGGGGACACAACTCAGCCCATAGCAGAGTGACTTTCTAAGTTGGAACTTGGAGAAAAAGTGGGATTTAGTGAAGCCAAGAGTYGGGCAAGAGGGAGAACAAACATTCTTTACCAAAGGTGGCCAAATTTTAAGATCTGGAAGTGAGAGAAAGTAGGACATGCAGTATCTTCTTCCATTTTCTGTAACTATAACAGAATACCTGAGACTAGATAATTTTTAAAGAACAGAGCTGGGCATGGTGGTGCACACCTGTAATTCCAGTGGCCTTGGAGGCTGAGGCAGGAGGATTGGGAGTTCAAAACCAGCCTCAGTTAAATCGAGGTGCTAAGCAACTCAGTGAGACCTGTCTCTAAATAAAATACAAAATAGGGCTGGGGATGGGGCTCAGTGGTTGAGTGCCCCTGGGTTCAATCCCTGGTAGCCACACACAAAAAAAAAAAAAAAAAAAAGAAAAAGAAAAGAGAATAAAGATTTGCTTCCTACAGTTCTGGAGGGCAGGAAGTCCAAGCACATGGTATCTGATCTGGTGAGGGTTTTTGGCTGTGTCATAACAGGGTGGAGAGAGTCACGTGGTAAAGGAGCAAATCCTCTTGAGTTAAGTGCAGGCTGAGCTCTTCCCTTCATCAGGAGCCTGTTATGTGATAATGGTCTTAATCCATTCACAAAGGCACTGTCCTTGTGACCTAGTTATCTCTTAAAATTCCAACATACATTCAGGAGGGGACAGTCAAACCAGGAGACTGCATGTACTTTGGGGCGACTGGAGTCTTGATGTGACATAGAAGACAATAGGGTTTGAGGCTAGTGCATGGGAAGAGCTGGATCGTAGAGGTCTGCATCATGAGGCTGGGATCATAGGGCACCTGGAGGAAGTTGAAGCAGGAGACTGAGGATCAGATTTACATTGATCCAATCTAAACACCACTTAATGGGCTGAATGTGTAGCCCGTGTCTTGTGTAAGGCTGCTCCCCTTTCATGGAGGGACGTGGGTTGTGGAGGTGAGGGTAACTATACTCCTTGCACACGGAGTTGAAATTATGAGCACTCTTTCTTGGAGATGTACTTGTTTCATTCTCATGAAATAACCCCAATTCACAACTCAGAAAACTAAGACTCTGGGAAATAGAGGTTCTTTTTTTTTTTTTTTTTGGTATCAGGGATTGAACTCAGGGGCATTTAACCACTGAGCCCCATCCCCAGCCCTATTTTGTATTTTATTTAGAGACAGGGTCTCCCTGAGTTGCTTAGGGCCTCACTAAGTTGCTGAGGCTGACTTTGAACTCGAGATCCTCCTGCCTCAGCCTCCAGAGCCCAGCAAGACAAAGGTTCTTGCTTCACTAGCTAGCAAGAGGTCAGCCTGCAYTGGAACTCTGACCTTTCACCTTTCACCTGCTCTTTCTAGGAAGTGTGTCTCCTTTCTGAGTCGTGAAATGGCTTGCCGTCTAAGAAGCCCTTGGAGTGTGTGTTTCTTTCTGTTATCCCCGACATCCTTGTTAAAATGTTCACTCTTTTAAGGAGGAAGAAAAAGAGAGAGAGAGAGATCTGTCATTTGAGAGACATTTACTGCCATAATTACAGCCACCATTTGGTGAAGCTGAGTGAGAAAACCCCAGTGAATTAAAAGACAAACCACATTCCATATGCCAGAATCTGTCGGGGTCCAGCATTTGACAGAAAACAGTCTGATATAAAGTCTTCTGATGTCATTGCGAAAGGGAAGGGCACGTTGTGGGGACTCCCTCTGAAACAGGGGTSCATTTTCTTTTCTTCGTGACTGGGTGATGTTTTTCAACCCCTTTCATGTGCGGTCCTCTAATCTCTTCCCGCCCCGTCCTTTATCACGACCTTCGCCCACTGGGCTACAGCTCTGGAGACGATTAGTGAGATCCTCTTTCTCCCCTTTCATCTTTGTTGTGGGGCCCGCTGTGGTTCCCAGGACTGTGATGTCTAAGATGCAGACCAAGAAACCTTTGTCATTACGCTCTGTAAAAAGCACATCAAAAAGGGCCCGAGAGGAGAGGGAGTGGTCATTTCTGGGCCCAGTCAGCTCGAAAGACCTGAGGTTTTGATAAAGCCCACTTCCCCCTCTTTGTCTGTCTTTATGATCCTGTTATGGCTTGGATGGGARATGTCCCCCCAGAAGCTCCTGTGTGAGATGACATATTCGGTGGTGTGATGATAGATTATGAGAAATGGGATCCAAACAGTGGATTAATCCACTTATGTGGATCGACTGGGTGGTAACTGTAGGCAGGTAGGTTGTGGCTGGAGCGGGGCGTGCCTTTAGGGATTATATTTTGTCCCTGGTGGGCAGAGCTCTCTCTACTGCCTGGTTGTGTGTCCTGAGCTGCTTCCCTCCCCCCCACCCTTCCGCCATGATGTTCTGCCTCCACCCTGGGCCCAGAGCTATGGAGTCAGCTGACCATGAACTGAACTCAGGAACCATGAGCCCAAATAAACTTTTTCTTCTCTACTTTGCTCTTGCCAGGTCTTTTGGTCACAATAATAAAAAAGCTGACTAAAACATATTCCATGTCACCCTCTGCACACACCCATTGTCCCCAAGGCCATTTTACTTTAAGGTTCAAAGTTTGATTGAACCCCACATTGAATCAGAAGATTGTATACAAGTTGTTTWGGTAGAATGTAGATCAGTGGTTCTCCATGGGGGGGTATTTTCCTCCCCAGGGGGGGCCTTTGGAAATATCTGGGAACATTTTGTTATATTTTAGGGGAAAGRAAGTGGGTAACTGTGTAAGCTTGCCATCACGGTGACCAAATACCTGAGAAAATCAACTTTTCAGCTGCAAGTTACAAAATACTCAAAGATTATCTTAAAGATCCTTTTAACTTTCTCATATAACCAAAATCTGGAAGTAAACTGTTAAAGAGGATTACTTAATTGAGCGAACCAAAAAGATAAGATATTTGGGTGAGTTTTCCCAAAAATAGTTTTGGCTTTCCCCTCATGGTTGCAAAATAGCTGCTATAGCTCCATTCTCACCAATCACCAGGGCAGGATAGACGCAAGGCATAAAGGGATCTCCTTCCATGCTTCCATTTCTTTGTGTGTGTGATGAGAGAGGAAAAATCCTTTCCAGAAACCCTTCAATACCCAGTAGGCTTTCTYTCATATCCTACATGCCAAAACTGGGACACCTGCCTATTTTTAAATCCTTAAGGGAAAGTTTAGATTGGGATTACCATTCATGACATGGACCAGGGGTCAGCAGAATCCTTTTGTAAAAGGATGTAATCCTTTTGTAAAACATATGTTTTAGGCTTTGTGTGAAGCATATGATCTGTGTCTCACATTCTTCTTTTAATATTGACAACTTTAGAAAATATTTTTAGCCCACAGCCTGTGCAGAAAAACAGGYCACAGGTTACTGGTTGTTGACCTCTGGATAAGGTGCTTCCCAACATGTGAACAAAATCAGGGACCTGCTCGCATGGAAAATGGTGATAATGCACCTGTCCCAAAGGATGCACGAGAAAATATTAGTTATCATACAAGGACAGGCTCTGCCAAGGGTGCTCAGCAGAGGCTGTAGTCCCCAGCCGCCAAGATGGCCCCYGTGACCTATGTCTCTGGATTCATGCCCTTGAGTCAGGTTGGCCTGTTGGACAAATAGAAGTGTCAGTATGTGCCAGGTGCGGTGGCTCATGCCAGTCATCCCAGTGGCTCGGGAGGCTGAGTCAGGAGGATTGCAAGTTCAAAGCCAGCCTCAGCAAAAGCGAGGCCCTAAGCAGCTCAGTGAGACCCTGTCTCTAAATAAAATACAAAACAGGTCTGGGGAAGTGACTCAGTGGTTAAGTGCCCCTGAGTTCAATCCCTGGTACCAAAAAAAAAAAAATTGGGTGCAGTATGTGACTCTGCTCATGATGGAGGTCACTTGTACGTCACTCTCATGGATTTCCCAGTGTGTACTTGTAGAGAGAAACTGAGGCTTCCYAGCCATGTGAGTAAGCTGCCTTAGAGGGGACTCTCCAGTCCCTCATCACCCTTAGTTGACTGCAGCGCTGGCCTGCACCTGATGGGACACCCTGAGCTCACATGTCTGTGCTGAGCTGCCTCTCAGTTCCTGAGCCACAGGAACCATGAGATCACACGGACTGATTACCTTAAGTCCCTTAGATTCAGGGTGATTGATTGTGTGGCCATAGATAATTAATAGGCTTCTGATGGGGGAGGGGGTGGAACATCTCAGTCTCCAGACTGAGGAATGACATTTGCAGATACCAGTGAGTCAGTCAGACGCGGTGGTGGTAATGGGGACAACAGRCGATGAATCAGGAAACCTGGGACCTCCAGTTCATTTGTCAACTCGGAGCAAATGGATTCACCATATTTGGATGTCGTAAGCAAATCCTGGGAAGGAGAGGGCAGATAATTATCAGAAAAAAATGAGAAAACTACCCAAAGCACATGCAATAATGTACATAGTGCTATACAAAGCTCAGCTCTATTTTCTCTGAGGTAACCTATAACCCACCCTTTCTCCCCTTCAGTCTTGAAAAGCAAAATACAGACCCCCCCCCACCACACACACACACACACACACACACACACACACACAGCAGCAGGAGAGCTCAGACTGAGTCCAAGGGTCACGTTAAGCAAAGAGATTGTGTGCAGGGTGGTTCAGGACCAAGGACAGTAGCCTGCGTACCCCTCCCTCTGCCCATACCCACCCCCCAGAAAATCTGTGGCTTGATATGTACTTTCCTGGCATCCCTAGGTACAATTAGAGGGGTGGAAAACATATGATATTTAAAACTGAGATCTAATATTTTGTAAATGCACGAGGCCAGGCGATTCGCACAGCTCTCAAAGTCCSGTCACACACCTCCAGCGTCTGCCGATGCARAAGGTCAGTCCTGCCTGTCAGATGGAYGTGGTGTGGAAAGTGAAGTACTGAGCTCCTATCAATTTACCAGGCAAAGAGGGCTCATTTGTTTCTCTTTATTTGGCCTGCATTRACTGCTCTGTGCTCTCACTTGCCAAGCCCTGCAGGGATGAAGGAAAGGGAGCCGTGGATTTTTTTCCTTCAAAAATTCTGCAGTCTAGAGGGCAAACGACAAGGACTCGAGTCACTCTCCTTACTGTGTTTCTCTCTGTCCTCGTCTTGCTGTACACGGACTCTCAGAGAAAGATCTGGAAATGGTCATTTTTGCATGGAAGTGAGTTTAATTCTCTACAGTGCACGTAAAGTTCATCCATCTTATGCAATGGGAGGCTTAATCTCCTGCTCAAGAAATCTGAGGCTGTCATTAACAGACAMCTTTTAATTTGGTCAAGCTCACCATTTATGTCTTTCCATCTGCAAAATGGGGCTCACAAATTAGATACTGCCTCGATTATGGTTTGGATGTGAGGTGTCCCCCAAAAGCTCACTTGTGAGACGGTGCAGGAAGGTCCAGAGGAGACATGACTGGGTTGTGAGAGCCTTAACCCAACCAGTGAATGAACCCCTGATGGGATTAACCAGGTGGTGGCTGGAGGAGGTGGGTGTGGCTGGAGGAGGGGGCATTGGGGGCGTGGCTTTGGGGTCTCTATTTGTCTCTGGAGAGTGGAGTCTCTCTCTGCTTCCTGATCACCATGTGAGCTGCTTCCCACCACCACACTCTTCCTCCATGATGTCCTGCCTCCCCTCGAGCCCCGAGGAATGGAGCCTGCTGCCTGTGGACTGAGACCTCTGAAACCCTGAGCCCCAGATAAACTYTTCCTCCTCTACAGTAGTTCTGATYGGTCTTACAGTCACAGCGGCAAAAGAGCTGACTAGAACAGCCTCTCTCTAGCTGCTGGCAGCTTAGCAGCCCTCCTCCCGCTGCTGAACTAGAACCCCTGATTCTAGTACTAGTTAAATCTGGTCAGACAGTCAGTCACAGGCACATCCACTCCAGTGGCCAGGACCCGGGCCTGCGAATGATGGTCACCTGTTCCACTGGCCACGGAGGTAAGGCTACATGGCCTTAGAGCAAAGTCCGGTGGACCCTTTCCTAATGACATCGTGTCCACTTTGTCTGGAAATGCAGTTCCCAGGGGCAATGTAAGATTTAGCTGCTGAAGGAAGTCACCTGCCCTAGGAGGAAGTGACACTCAGATGTCAACAAAGGAAAGGGAAGCCCAGGCACAGAAAGGGAAGGAGAAAGAGAATGAGGGGGGATGATGACAGATGGCAAGGGATAGAGATGAAGTCCGGCCTCTGAAGCCAGCCGGGCCGAATGCAGTCCACGTTCTACAAGTCAGTAAATTCCCCTTCATGCTTGTGCCTGTTTAGGACACACTTCTTCCATTTGCAACCTAGAAGGCTCCTGACTAATGCTAACTGCAGGAGTTACTCTAAGGACTGAGTCCCACARGATTTTCAGAAGTCCTTTGTCCAACCATATGCAAAAGCTGCAGGCATGTTCTCTGGGAGCTCACCCTTTCATCCCTTCACGTGTCCCTAAGTGCTTCATAAATATTATTCCATTCTACCCCGCAGCCCGGATGCCCTGATGATAGGGAGAACCTCCGATTTTTCCTTCCTTTGATATTAAGCTAATGCATCTCATCTCTTAAAATTTCCAATAAATTAAATAATAAACAGAAAGATCTCTGTGCTCTTTCATTAGAGGTTAAAAAGGAACAGCTACTCAAAGCTAAGTGCAACCAGGTTTTTGCAGTACTTTATAACTAGAACCTTAAGGGAAACGCTGCTCTGTGATGTTTTGCATAAAGAGCAGAGGAAAGGCTGCTGTTTGGGGTGGGAGAACMTCCCGATATCCACCGCCCTGGATTTCATCCACGCTAAAAGGAGTCACTTACGGCAACGTTCCTGAAATTCTGAGGCAGGACAAAAGCTTTTGCAGATATTTTCTTTTCTTTTATTTAATTAATGAATTAATTTTAATTAGGTATGTATGACAGCAGAATGCATTTTGATTCATTGTACACCACTGCAGCACAACTTTACCTTTCTCAGGTTGTATCTGATGTAGCGGTCACACCCTCTGTGCAGTCATACATGTACCTAGGGTTACGATGGCCATCTCATTCCACCATCTTTCCCGCCCCCATGCACCCTCCCTATTTTGCAGATATTTTCTCCCATTAACTTCTTTCTTCTTTTTGGGGTGCTGAGAAAGACTTACCTTTCTAGAGCATTTTTAGAGTCTTACTGGAGCCTGACTTAGAGTCAGAACCACAGTTATTCTTATCCTCCCACCCCCCATCCCCACCAACTTGAAATACCCTTGCTAGAAGCAAGGGACTTTGCTCTAACAGGCAACATGTGTTTGCAATATCATTTAGACCTGGTGAAGGTTTAATATTTTAAGTGAAAAGTTGGGGGGCAGGGGCAAGATCTCAAACTTCTGGCTGACAGAAGTTGTTTTGAGAACCACGTGCAAAATGTGGCACACCTGTAACYGGCGACTTGGGAGGCTGAGGCAGGAGAATCGCAAGTTGGAGCCCAGCCTTAGCAACTTAGCAAGGCCCTGTATCAAAATAAAAAAAGAGGGCTGGGGTTGCAGCTCAGTGGCAGACGCTAGCCTAGCATGTGCAAGGCACTGGGTTTAATCCTCAGCACCACATACAAATAAAATAAAGGCATCTGTCCATCTACAACTACTAAATAAATAAATAGATAGATAGATAGAGTGAGTGAGCTGGGGATGTGGCTTAGTGATAAAGCACCCTTGGGTTTAATCCCCAGTATGCGGGAATAGTAAAGTTGTTTTGAACCCTCAAGAAGCCATTTAGCACAGCAATTCCTAAAAGTTGATGGATGGATCTTTTTGTAAAATATTTAATAACTAAGCCAGGCGCAGTGGCACACCCCTGTAATCCCAGTGGCTTGGGAGGCTGAGGCAGGAGGACTTTGAGTTCAAAGCCAGCCTTAGCAACTTAGCAAGGCCCTAAGCAACTCAGCGAGACCCTGTTCTCAATAAAATACAAAAAAAGGGCTGGGGATGTGGCTMAGTGGTTAAGCACCTGATACACTCCCTGGTTAAAAAAAATATATTTAATAGTTGAATAATTAATTAATAATTTAGTAATTGAAAACTCTGATCCCCTTCTTAAAATTTTATTTTTGGTTCCCTACATCTTCCTTATCGCACACAAAGTTTATTCCTTTTATTATAATTATCATCATATTTATCAGTATTTTGGTATGAGGGATTGAACTCAGAGGTACCTAACCACTGAGCACACCCCCAGCCCTTTTTCTTTCTTTCTTTCTTTCTTTATGTATTTATTTATTTAATATATTTTTAGCTGTCAGTGGACTTTATCTATTTATTTATTTATCTGTRGTGCTGAGAATCAAACCCAGTTTCTCACACATGTGAGGCAATTGCTCTACCACTGAGCCCCATCCCCAGCCCTATTTTGTATTTTATTTAGAAACAGGGTCTCACTGAGTTGTTTAGGGCCTCGCTAAATTGCMGAGGCTGGCTTTGAACTGGAGAGATCCTGTCTCAGCTTCCAGAGCCGCTGGGATTGTAGGCATGCACCATCATGCCCAGCGCTAGAGTCTATTTTTAAAAACCTGTTACATGGCTACTAGTTGTTATTTATGCTGACCCAGCTTTAATATTCAGAAACTATACTTAGTGCATTCCTCAAATTAAATGAGCCTTCACCTTCAGTATTAATTTACTGTGTCAACTGCTGTGTTCTGTTTCCCTGTAAGATCCAATTCCTCCCGTTAGAACCTTCCAACTAGCTATTTCTTCCACCTCAGGACACGGTTTCTTGGTTCTTCCTACAGTTGTCTCCGTCTTGCCATTTCAGCACCAGCTCAAATGACTTGCCAGGTCACCTTCTCTGCCCCACCTGCCCTAAGCCACCTTGGTCATTTTACTCTGCTCTTGGTCACTTTACCCTGATTTTATGTTTTTTTTTTTTTTATGTTTATCATCAGTCTTGCCCCCAGAATCTCAGCTCCTTGAGACCAAGGGCCTTATCTTATTCATATCTTATATTACTACATTCYAGAAGCAATGCCAAAGGCTTGGTAGGCACTCCATAAATATTTACGGGATGCAAAATTTTAAAAAATCTGGCTTCCACACAACTTTATACTTCACATCCTTAAGATATTAAGGAGCAGAGAACAGATAGGATGCCCCTGTTCAATATTCCACAAAATGAGACTCACTTAATTCTTCTATGATAGACAGTTCCTGGCTGATGAATGGCTTTTGTCAAGAAATTCACGGTCTCTGCCAGTTCCTCATCAGAGATAAGCAGTAGCTAGAGAAGTTGTACCTACGTCACAGGCACCCCCCACCCCCCACCTTAGCATTGATAACCACGTTTCCATCTTGAACCAAACTTTCTCAAAGCTTGCTTACTCCTGAGACAAGGCTCTCATAAGA